TCTGAGGCTCGTCAGCTTCTAGCTCTATCTCATGACTTCTGAGGGAGCTGATAAGTTCCTCCAGAGTGATTTTGTTGAGATCTTTAGCTAGCTTCAGAGCTGTAACCATTGGTCTCCACTGCTTGGGTAAACTTCTGATGATTTTCTTGACATGGTCAGCAGTAGAGTATCCTTTGTCCAGAACCTTGAGACCAGCTACCAGAATCTGGAATCTTGAGAACATTGTTTCAATGGATTCAGATTCTTCCATTTTGAACGCCTCATACTTCTGAATGAGCGCCAGAGCTTTAGTTTCTTTGACCTGAACGTTGCCCTCATGCGTCATTCTGAGAGAGTCAAAAATATTCTTTGTTGTGTCTCTGTTGGAGATCTTTTCATATTCAGTATAGGAGATGGCGCTGAGGAGGATGGTTCTGGCCTTGTGGTGATTCTTGAAGTCACGCTTTTGTTGGTCAGACATTGTTTTTCTATCAATCTTCTGACCGCTTGCATTCACAAGGTGCGTGTATCCGTCTGTCACCATATCCCACAGATCAACATCATGTGCCAGAAAGAAGCTTTCAATTATGTCTTTCCAGTAATCAAAGTTTTCTCCATCAAAGACTGGAGGTTTGCCGCTGAATCTGTCTATGTCCTCATTGTTGTCATTGCTGGTGTGAGAATAGTTTCCTGCCATAGTGTTTTTCTGACGCTGGATCTTGTACTGACACGCTTAAGTGTTTTAGCTCAGAACCAGACGCTCTGATGCCAATTGAAGTAGTGAAAAACACAAGAAGGGGGGGTTGAATTGTAAAACTGAAAATCAATGCAATGAACAAGATATTTTTATCCTGGTTCGTTTGATCTCAAACTACTCTAGTCCACCCGTCAAGGTGATTTCGCCTCTCTCCAACGAGGTCTTAATCCACTATATTCAACTGAATATTACAGACTGCTTTAACAACTGCTAAAGCCTTCTTGATGCAAACCACAACCCGGTTTGTCAAGGAAACACTTTCTTACAAAGAAGATAAATCTAAGTGTGTGAATGTTTTCTACAAAACTGTATCACAACTGTGATGTATACTCAACTTTAAAGCTTAGAAACTAGATTGCTAAACAATGATTGAATATGAGAATGTGTAGTGTTCAACAAACTGAGAGAAGGAAGATTTTGATCAGCTTTTATGCGTGTAAATATTTGGAGAGCATTAGCCAATTCAATCTTCAAAGTCTTGTTTATATAGCACTGAGATGTTGAACGTTGGAGCAATATTCTTGATTCAATGCTAATAACAAACTTTCCTTATCGAGCATATATTGTCTGGAATGAGGCCGTCGGTATTAATTTGCTTTCAATGCACAGTACCGTTGCTTACTTAATGCAAGTTCTGGCTTGTCTCATTCTGACTCTGCTTAGCTGCTGATGAACTGTTGTGTTTCTTTATCAGAGTGTTGAGCGCAGTTCTGTTCATCAGGCTTCAGCATATACGTGAGTTAATCTTCTGATTCTGACATTCTGATATGGCAACTTCTGGTGCTGATGTCAAGAACCAAATTTCTGGTGCTGATTAGGTGTGATCTTGCTTATACCAATCAGAGTATCTGCAAATCAGAACGTAATAATTTAGGCAGCAGATAGTTCATACATGAATCATATAAATAATATATCTTTTCACTTTGTTATCATCAAAACTTAAACATAGGGTAGTAGATTCAAACTTTGTTCTAACAGCTTGTACTTGAACTTGGGAACCATGAAAATTGATTCAACTTGATTTTTTCGTTTTCAACCAAACCATAGTTTGGTATCTTTCAAACCTGGTTACTCCAACTACCCAAACCTTTTCTTTATAAATATATATACCATTTGTAAATCACAAGGGCCAGACTCTTCTTGTGTTGAAAAAATCCTCAAACACTCCCAATGCTCTCAACAACTCAGAACCTGCACACAAACGTAAAGTTAAGCATAAAACTTGGCACATCCTGACTTGATGATATGCATCAGTAGGATTACCGAGAAATGAACAACTTAATGATAGGAATCGGTAGGGTAAATGGAAGACGTCAATTAGGTGATTAGAAAAAAGAACAAACAATAAAGTTACTGACATCGGTAAGGTTACTGGGAAACGTCAATCAGGTGATTGGGAAAATGAATAAACAGTAAGGTTATTGGCACCAGTAAGGCTACCAAGAGACGTCAATCAGGTGATTGGGAAAATGAACAAACATTAAGGTTATCAACATCGGTAAGGTTACCGGGAGACGTCAATAAGGTGATTGGGAAAAAGAATAAATAGTAAGGATACTAGAATCAATAAGGTTACTGGGAGACATAAATCAGGTGATTGGGAAAATGAACAAACAATAAGGTTACTGGAATCAGTAAGGTTATCGGGAGAAGTCAATTAGGTGATTGGGAAAATGAACAGAAATTAAGGTTATTGGCATCAGTAAGGTTACTGGGATACGTCAATCGCGTGATTAGGAAAATGAGCAAACAGTAAGGTTACTGGCATCACTAAGGTTACCAGGAGACGTCAATCAGGTGATTGGGATGATTAGCATTGAGGATAAACCTAGTTGAAAGGTTGTTACTGACTTAGATAGGGATTGACTTTGAATTGAGAATAGCTACTCCCTAGGGAATTGATTTTGGACTTTATCGAGAAGCCTTGAGACTTGGTATATGTCATGCCAGATGTGCATGCTTCGTGCAGACACGAGTGTTAATGCGCGGTATGTTATGTATCAATGATGCATTTCATATGATGTGTGTGAAATGATGCATATTATACAGATAGCTGTTTAGAAATGGATTTTAATGAACTTCCAATGAGAATTGGGCTTAAGGTACCAAGAGGTATTGTGTTTTCTGACCATTATTGGGTTACAAGACTTTGTATGATTCATGCTTATGCGGATAAGATAGATGAATGAGATGATATGCGTGAATTGATATTGAACTCTATAAAAATGCGAAAAATGTAGCGGTAAAGAATTGAGATTAAGCCATCAATTGAATTAACTCACACAATGAAGTCGCCACCGTATTTTATTGTTTCCAAAGGGAAATGGGAAAAAGGCGTACAAAACCCACAATGAAATAAAAGATTAGAGATCGAGGTACGGGGGTCGGTTATGCAGAGGGAATGTATTATCACCCTAAGCATCTACGCTACTCTGCAGGATCCACTTTGTTTGTTTTCTTTCAAAAGGTGTGTTATCTAAAAGCTTACTTGCTAAATAGAAAGAATGAATGAGTATTTACAAATAAAAGAAATTTTTTTTTTAAATTATTTTTGCTCGCCTTGGGTCGTGGAACTTTGTTCCTACGTACTCCCTCGTGCAATGGGAAAAGTCAGAGCACCATAGCTCGACTAGAAAAGACTTGTATGTTGATTGATTTTAAATGAAGAGACAAGTCGTCATTTTTTGGAGAGAAATCTCAACTAACGCCCACAAGGTGTGAGAAAGTTGGACCCTGCGTCAGCAATAGTGAGGGCTTGAGAACACCTCTAGTACTCAAGTGGAAAATTTGACACTTTTATAACCATGGGGATAGGAGGATGATATATCAATTATAAATGAATCATGACTAATCTTGAAAAAGGTTTTAAAAGGTAAAAGGTGCCTGAGCATACAAAAAAGTTTGAATGAGTTGAAGTGTTTTTGTTAAATTTGAAAGATGTCAAAGTATGATTAAATGATTTAAGTTTGTTTAAAGAAAAGAAGTTTTAAAAGAAAAGGCACTCGACAAAGTCAGGGTTTATTATGAAAGCAGTTTGAGTTTATAAACAAAGAAGGTTTTGAACAAGATGAAAGGTTTTGAAAATTAATGAATGGGAGGAGATGAAGAGAGTATCATATGTACATGAAAGTAAAAGGTAAGGTAAAGAGGATCTGACCGAATAAGAAATAGGTACTTGACATGAAAAAGTCAATACACCGTTCCCATCCCTTTGGGTTTAAAGCCACAAATAGATAAATAAGCCAAGATTATACCAAACCTCGAGTGAAAATAAATAACAAGCCGACAACATCAAAGAAATCCAAATGTCAGATAATACTCTGAGCATCAGATAAAGCATATTGAATCATAAACAAGGAGCGCAACACGTGAAAATAAATCACGGACGAAGAAACCATGAATAAACCCAAGAGGAATCAGATAAAGCACAAAGGCGATAGATAAAATTCATGGTATCGGATAAAGCTCAAGGTAGCAAATAAGGCTCAGACATCGAATAAAAATCCCTACATCACATGAAACACACAGACAAATCCAACATCACAGAAAAATAAACTAACGTCTCAACTAAGTAAGAAATAACCAAGTCAAACGATCAAACTAAGGGACCAGAATTAATCGAATTGAAATCCACAAAATAAGTCGGTCAATGAAGTCTATGCATCCATACGTTTTCAAGAGCTAAATTGAAAATAACTTCGAAATCGCAATATAAAATAGCAACACAACTAAAAAATATTTACAAAATTTTAAACCAAAATCTAATTAACAACCATAGATTCATGTTCAATAGATTGAAATAAATCTATTTTTATTTATTAAAACAAAATAAAAAAGTGAAAATAGAAAAAGAGGTGCAAATTGAATGTTGGGGTATAAAATAAGCAACCATTAAGTTGTATAGATAAAGCCCAATTTACTAAATAGATAAAAACTCCTAAAATAAAACTTAATTAAAAATGAAATTAAATAAAATTATGATGAGAAAAGTAAGGGTAGGGTGATGCTACTGTATAGATTGAAGGAGTATCGGTGGATCGCAAGGAGACGATCATTGGCGTAGAATCGATCAGAGGAACGATGGAGGTTGCAGGTTGTTTTACGATGGATTCACGGAGGGAGAAGCATGGTGAGCGGTGAGATTAGAGAGGAACGAAATCAGTTTGTTGAGAGAAGTAGTAGGATGAAGGTGTGTGGAAGATAAAAAAGGAGGTTTGTAAGGTGATGAATCGTGAGAGGGAGTAAGATTGAAGAAGGTTATGCGATGGAGGGAGACTGGAAATCTCACGGATGGAAGAGAGGTGATGTTGAAGTTGGAAATTGTAGAAGAATAAGGGTGAACAGTGAATATGCGAGACAGTTTGAGCAAAAGAAGGTAACTGGTGATGGTATGGTGGATTGAACGGAAAAAAATGTGACGGAGGGGGTTATGTTGGTAGCTTTAGTACAAAGGATGGTGTTGATAGTGAATAGTAAGCTAGAGAGGAGGGGTTCGTATGATGTGAGGAAGAAGATAAAGGGTTGGTGGAGAGGGTGAGATGGCTGTGAACTGATGATGAACGTTGAGATGATGATGAACGTTGAGATGATGATGGTGGTGCCGAGCAATCAGAGGGTATGTGAATCAGAGGAAATAATTGGGTAGCTGAACGAAATTGGTGATGATGGTTGTGAAGGAAGGTTGATGTTGTGAGGAAGGGTGATGTAAAGAGGATTCAATGGAAACTTGGATGGTATAAACTCTGTATGATTTATGATGAATGGGATGTTTTGACTATTGTCCTTGTAGTGAGTCATTGACTGCTAAGGCTTAGAGGTTACTTGATAACAAGGCTTCTTGTCAAAAGTAAGCAGGATGTTCTGCTAGCATGACTTCCCGACACTCGTTTTGAACTTAATGATTACTGATGAGAAGTTTAAAAGTATGGAGAGGACTTGTGTTGTTGAAGCTATTTTTTTTGCCCTTGTTGGTAGGGTCTTTGAAGGATTTATCTGAAGAGGAACTTGGATCCCACATGTAGTGATATGAACTTGATATGGAATGTCTTAGTATTTGAATCTTGAAAGGTTTTTCCTTGAAGTTGTTTGAAAAAGAACTTGGATCCTACATGCCACAAGAGGTGTGACCCAAGCTGACCGAGTCTTAGAATGATTTCCCCTAGTCAATAGGATCTTCATGTGATATGCCCCTATGATCATTAGGATTTTCCCTCTGAAGAAGTGGGATCCCTGGGTGTTTTCCCCTATCTAGGAGCTTCTTGAAATGAATATCCTTTGATCAAATCGTTCTTGAGATTTCCTTGATGCTAAGTATTGATTTGCACATAAAATCGTACATTTTGAAAAGTAATTCTAACATGATGAACAAGCAAGTTTTTGAAATCAAAATTTGATATGGAAAACAAATATGGCGTACAATGGATGGGTACAGATGAAGGTGTAAAAATCAATATGGTTAGCAATAAATTAACACACATTAGGAGTCAGTTTAACGCAAATTTTGATGAATATGCTTTCATAGTGAACTTATCTTCAATTAAGACTTTTGCAGGTTGTAACATGGCTTGATTCATTGTTTTAAGAAATAAAGGATAATATCTCAAAATTTCAAATTTAACCCACTTTATTCTCCTTGATGTTCTCCATTCTCAAATTCAATCAACTCAACAGATGCATTATGTCTACAAGAGAACTTTTGTAGTCGCGATGATGAGTAGAAGCACTACTGAGATTCAAGCACTTGATGAGAAGCACTGGTAATTCTTGAGGTGGAAGTCACAAGTTTATTTTCCATTTTCTCTGCTCTCAATCCCTTATTTTTTCACTGACCAATTTTTTTGAATTTTTCGGTCCATCGGGATGCCCAAACTTTTTCCTAAGTCATTTTTTTTGGATTTTTCCTTTTTGACTTAACGAACATTTATTTATTTTTTGTAAATAGATCTTGAGATTTTTCTTTTTATTTAGATTGTTTGTGACTGTCATGTTGACTTTTGTAACCGTTATCTTCTTAGCTTCCTCGATTTTGGATGATATATACAAGAAGATGTTGTGAGCTTTATCTTCATTTCTTTGATGATATGCGTGAGGAAGAGGATGTGCTTAAACCTCTTGTTTAGATAGACTGATTCTCTTGAGATTATAATGCATCATTGAATTAGTTGAAATCTATCATGCCCTAGTTAAGATTAAAGGTTTTTTTAATGAAAAATAGAAAGAAATCCAACTTCTGGCTCGAGAGGGTTGACTACGGATTAATTCCTTATTTCTCTAGTGTTTGGAGAGTGAAACAATGCCTTAAATCGCCAGCTTAGTCTTACTATTAAAAAGCCTAGATCAGCAAAATTCAATTATTTTATTTACATCATTCTCCCTCAAATTTTGTTAAAGGTGAAAGATGAAAATGGAATGGTGATATGTGAAAATGGAAAACAATTGATATTTTTGTATTAAAAGTAATGATAATGAAATAGTGAGTAGAATGGATTGACTTTGAAAACATGCATGATTATTTTTATTAGAATTATTGACCAATAAGTACAAATTTTATAAACAATGCATCTTAGCAATATAGAAATTACAAATGGAAATGATAAAGGTCTAATGATTCTAGGGATTAACTTCCTTGTTGATCCGTTGACTTTAGGGGACACTCCTGGATGTTCTTGCATTATCAAAGTAAGGGGTGACCTTTGTCTTTTCTTCAGATGGGCATATCTGTTTTGCTGATAGGGCAGTTTCTCTTGATACTGTTATCTTTGATGTAGGGGATTTACCCTTAGTAGTGGCATCTGAGGCGTTGCGTAGGAATATGGTTGGCATGGCGAAGAGTTTCCTTCTCTCCTCAATAGGACTTGTACTTCTTGAATTCCTTCATAGCTTCTTGATACTTTCTTTGAGTTTATTTGTGAGGATCGTGAAACCTGCTAGCTGGATGAAAGTCGGATAAGGGCGAAAGTGGAAATAGATGTGAGGTTTATGATATGCAAATGTATGTACGTGTATGCGAATACAAATGTATGTGTATAAATTATTATTTTTGTATTTTAGGGCATGCTAAAAAAATTCATGGATATACAATGCAATGCAAACTTTGGGTAAAGATAGACCTAAGGAAATCTAAGCGGGTTTAGAGATGGTAATAAACAAACAAAAACCCCTACATGCTAGGGATTATGACATACAAACAGAGACCCCTGTACGCTAGGGATTATGACAGATATAAGGACACCATACATGCTAGGGGTTATGACATACAAAGAGAAACCCTACAGGCTAGGGATTATGACTTATAAAATAAAAATCCCTACGGGCTAGGGATTACATAAAACAAAAAGGAAACTCTTACGGATTTAAGGATTATAGTAGACAAAAGGTAACCCTTGTGGATTTAGGAATTGTAACAGAGAAAAAGGAACCCTTACGGGTTTGATGATAGTGATAAAAAAAAGGAAACTCTTACGGGTTTAGGAATAATAACAAGACATCCTTCACAGGAAGGTTCCCTATGAAGGACATGATGTATGTGAAACATCCTATAGGTTGGCTTCTACAGGGGGTTCTAAGTCTTTTCTACCCAACTCCCCCCCCCCCCCCCACACACACACACACAAGGGTGGCTTCTATAGATATCATGGATAACACATAAGGGAAACGGAACAAGGGTCTCCCTTAAGTGGAGCCTCTTCATAGATCAAGACTTTCATCTTGTAGGCCATACAAGGTCTCACCATGAGATTTTATTTTTGGGTGAAGGTCCCTAGAGTCATTGACCAAATCCAAAGTCCTATCTTCAAGAGAGGCTAGCCCTCCAAAGATATTTCTCGGAGTTCGAACCACTCTAAGTGAAGTTGTCCCAAACACTCATAGGGATACTAAACCCTCTTGGCCAATAGACAACCCCTTATTTAAGGTTTTATCATGCAAATTAGATCACACTAACAAATATACGATAATATGATAACAGATGAAGGAAAATAAATAACATAAATGAGAAATAATAAACCAAACAAAAACATATAAAGAAATATAAATAAAAAACCCAAGAAGTCTTAAAGCTAAAGATAGAATAAACTCTAACTTAAGGGTTGTGTCCCCAGCAGAGTAGCCAGTTGTCATAACCGGCAAAAAATAAGAGAGTCACCAACACTACTTATTTGTTTTAAGATTGGTAAAGGAATGGAGCAACCCTAATTATTTAGAGACTAATGGGTTCGTGAGTTGATTAGATAAATGAAAGGTTTTAGACACCTTTTACCTTCCCTGTACTCAAGGGGGTCCTTTTTAGATCTAGGACTTAGAGGGAATTACTTATTTATTTTATAGTCATATTATCATGTATAGGAAAACAATGGAAAAATAATTTTTTTAAGTTAGTGGACTCGCCTTGGTTTTTCGACTGTGTGCCTATGTATCTTCTAAAGAAGAAATCAGAGTCCTTCGTAGTTCGAAGTGTTTGTTTAATATTTTTTACAGAATCGTGTTAAGTCGCTTTCGAATGATTTTGAACTTGTCTGAGTTAGGAAATTGAGTGACGATATACAAAGTTTTTATATCCAAGTAGAAAGAAACCAGATAATTCTTTATTAAAAAATATTCTTGAGTTTTGATTATGTTAGTAGAAAAATGATTTGATTGGTTAGCTGCTTTAAGTTTGATTGATTGATAAAGAGTTTATCTTTATTTGAATTAAATCGTGCGGAGAGAAGAAATTGATTTTGATTTGTTTGTGAATTTGGAAAATTAATTGGTAAGACGTTAAGCCAATCACTTAATTACTCGATGATGTATATCTTATTATTTGTAAAAATGTTTGAATTAGTCGAGGGGCTTAGAAACATGTATTGAATTATTTATAAGTTGATGGACATTTTAATTAATAAAAAAAATTAACAAATATACACATTAATGTAATTAATCTAATAACAAAAATATCATCCACTAACTTAAAAAAATATATTTTTCTCTGTTCCTTTTCCTATACAAGATAATATCATAATTAAATAAAGAAGCAATTCCCTCTAAGTCCTAGATCTAAAAAGGATTCCCTTGAGTACAAGGAAGTTAAAAGGTGCCTAACACCTTTCTTTTATCTTATCAACTCTCGAATCCATTAATCTCTAAACAACTAGGATTTTTTTGTTCCTTTCCCGTTCTTAGGAAAAATAAGTAGTGGTGATGACTCTCTTGTTTTAAGTCGATTATGACAGCTACCATAACACCATACCATCGTGTGACAAGCAACCTTGTACATAAGAAACCTCTATAAGCCTTAACCATCCATTATCCTTCACATGGGCACCCTTTGCTGATGCATTCAAGTCATTAATCATCATCATGCATTAATTATGTCGCTTCACTCTAGCATCAAACAATGCACTCCCTTGACATTTACCCCTCAAAAAGCCCAACCTTGCTTAGCACTCCACACCTACAAAGCCCAGTCTCACTTGGCATATACCACCAAAATACCAAACTCACTTGGCATTCACCCAAAAAATATGATTCTCAGAAAGCCCAACCTTTATTGGCACCCAATACCTAAAGAAAGCCCAACATCCTTTGGCATCTTACATAAGCCTAACACCTCTTGGCGCATATCACGAGCCTGACCTCAATTGGAATATCATAAAGCCCTACCTTGCTTGAAATCTCACACTTGTATATCCAAGGCCCAATCTTCAGTGGTATAGTCCAAGAATAATGCATTGCATTGCATCAATCATCGTACTTCATATATTGAAAGAAAAAAAGAAAAAAAAATCTCATTCATCACACATAAAACGAGTCGTAGGTGACGC